GGGAAGAAACATCAGCTTCCCACCGGCTGAAAGCATCTGTCTCCGAACTGAACAGCTCCTCAGGCTGTGGACATGAAGTGGATTCCTGAGAGGGCGTGTTTACAGCCAGTTTCTCTTTTGCAGAAGCGCACCATCTTTAAAGAAAACCAGATGAACTCCTGTCCTCTGATCATTCCTGATTCTGTTTGGAGTGCTAGTGTGGATGGAGATGGATTAGCGCTGTCTGCCTTCTGTCTCGCTAGCTGCTGCACAGGGTGACTGAGCCGGTGCGCGGGTATCGGTATGTACGCAGGGAATCATATGCCCAGTAATGGTGTGGTGATGCAGGTTGTCCAGCGCTTTCTGCTGAACTTGTTCAAACACGGAATAAAGGCATGTTCCAGTGCTTGCCCGTTGCTAATTACCACACAGCAGCCTGCCCTCATGTGCAGAAGGCACTTACATTCCAACTTGCTTGGGAATCACAGGTCTTAGCAATATGACAGGGAGAGGTAAAAAATCTATGGGGAAGGCAGACTGCTTTTCTGCAGAGGTTCTTGTCTTTGTGATGAGTGTGAAGTGCTCTCCTAGCAATCAATCCTGTGCCAGTAAGGCAAGGACGATGGGACGCAAGGGGGAAGGAGGTGGCCTGGGCCACTCCCAGGGGTCCCGATAATTCCCCAGGAGCAAAGCCCTGCTTTTGTGTGAAGAGAGGCCAAGAGGAGATACCAGAGTCTTTCTGGAGCACTGACAGCACTGAAAATGTCCCCCGAGGCAGTGAGGACACATGAGAAAGCAGAGCTACAAGGTGCTGTGGAGGTACTGCAGAGTATCGTCAGGCTCTGAGGGGCTTTGCCCACTAGAAATCCGCAGTGAGGGAGCTACATGGCTACAAAGGCTTGGCTTTGTGTTTAACTGCTTCGTTTGCCCATGTCAGGAGCCGCGGCAGCTTATAGTCCTCATTACCTGGAGGCATTCCCAGCAATTTGGGCAGGCACCAGCTGAATAACTTCCACTCTGGTTCTCTGCTGTAGAGCGTAGCTCCTACCTGCCCCGCTGTGCAAACCGTTCCTCTGATCGGCTCTCTCCTTAATCCACGCTGAGTGCCTGAGCTGTGAACGAGGCTGATCCAGGAAGCTGCCGGCAGGAGCCCTGTAAGGCATGGTTATGTAAACATCTTTGCCACTAAGATCTGTGTAATTGATTACGAAAAAGAGGAAACAATTTTAGCAGAGCTGCCTGTTTACCCAGCTCCTTCTACAGGTCAGGGAAGACGAGTCTTTCCAAGCAGGCACTCTGCCTCGCAGATCCTCAGGGCACTAGAGCAGCCGGTGCTACTCACACACACTGTTTTCTTGGTGAGGGTGATGCTGTTCTGCGTAAAACTTGCAGAGTGTCACTGTATCACTGGTATTGAAAGATCTCAGTTTTTTTCCAGCATCCCATATCTACGTGTGCCTGTGACGCAGCTTTTCTGATGACAGGCCAGACCTCTACCCTCCAAATATTCTGCACCTGGAAGACCGCTTTGACAGGGGTTTGGGTTCATCCCGAGTGGTGATCACCTTCCTATAAACCCTCCTTGTCTGCCATGAAGCGCTGAGCGAAGGGCAGAGCGTGACCCTCCCTGCCCATATAGTTTTCCTTCTTCTTCCAAGAAGTGATGCCCGGAGGTTTGGAGCGTGGTGGTTAATATTCCGATCCTCACCCATTTGAGGATTAGCCTGTGTTCTGGCCAGAGTTGTGCAGAACATGCCACCAGATGAAAAGATGTAGGAGACGGGCTGGCTTGTGGAGTTGTGTTTGCAGCTTTGTTTGATTGTGTTATGGCAGACAGCTTGCCTGTAGAGCATCTGTTCTGCTGTGCAACTGGCTGGCTGGGTCTTCTCAGCAGCAGCACTTCTGATTGTGTGTTGCTGGAGGAAAGCAAAGGGACCTCGCGCTGAAAAAGCAGAGAACGCCAAAAAGCCGATGAAAGTGAAGTTGCTCCGGAGCACTTCTTAAAGGCGGCTTGAGCTGTTTCTGATCCCTAAAGCTTTACACTGTGTACCTTGATGGGCTAATCTTCTGCAGCCTCCTGTAATTAGGTGCCACTCAACCACATGACCCAGCGAAGCCAGCTATGCTGGTAATCCAAAGTCACCCATCGGAGGGGTTCTGGGTGCTAAGGTGGGCTAGTGAGAAACATGCTGTAGTGGGAAGTCCTCTCCCAGCACTTTCCTCAAAGTCAGTCTTGGGGGTTGGTGGGGAACGGGAAAGGTTTGTAGCATTTTCTGAGTGCCCAACTTGAATCTCACAGCAAAGGCTGTGTTCTCTGAGGGTGCTGCAGCTTGAGAGTTCTTGTCCTTTTCAGAATCAATTAGTTCCCCAAAATCACAAACAGGTTTTGAAAACTGTGGCCAAGAATCAAATTTTCTCTCTTATAATCTGAACTGAACTTGTCAGGATCCCTGGGAGCTTGGCAAAAATTTGTGGGTTGTTTTTTCTGATCCAGCTCCCAAATTCAGTCTGGGGTGGCTGATCTGTGCTGGAGAAAAGGCTGAATGAAGCATTCGGGTCTAAATCCAGCCCTCCTGGAGGTTGGAGCTACCTCTCAAGGAGATGGCTATATAAAAATAGCCCAAGAGTTTCTTCAGCGTCTACTTTGGCTTTACAGCTCCGCTGATCATAATCCTGTGCATGACATCATTACTGCCTGATATTAATCCTGGTGGGGCAGGGGTTTCTGCACCTGCCCAGCCTTGCGGGGGGAGCGTTACCCAGGTGGCTCCGCTTTGTGTGCCGGGATGAATACAGTCAGAACCTACTGTGTAGCATCTGTACATGAACGAATCCATACCCGCCTCCTGAAGCGTGCGCAAGGCCAGCAGAGTTAGACTGCAGGAGCACTGCCAGGCTCTTACTACAGGTTTGCTCTGGAGAGAGACCAGAGAGCAGATGTGTGTTTATATTTATTTGTACATAAACTAGTTTTTAATAACAACAATTTAAAATATATTTTATAAATATACATATATTGGACATATAGAATCTATTAGATAGAAAATATGGATGAATTGTATATAATGTATAAAATGATATATATTGCATCGATATGTAATATAGAAAACATTTTAAAGCCTCTATATATGCACAATATGTATAAATGTGTTTAGTAAATTATCTTATATTACAGCAATATATAATAGAGTTTATTAGTATGATATATATACTATATACAATTTTATATGTGTGTGTATTCTATATAATATATATTCCACATATATGGGACTTTGCGAAGCGGCTGAACTCTCTGGATGTGCTCTGACCCTACCTGGCAGTAATTAGGTCACATCATTAATCTCCCAAAAGCAGTGTGCGGCGTGCTGCCCAGACACAGCAGCCGTGGCCGAGGGGCTTCTGGCCCCAGGCAGAGGCATTCCCGAGAGCCCGTGGTGGTGTTTGCAGCAGCTTCAGCTCCTTGAATTCTGCTGTAGGCCTGTTGAGAGGCTTTTACTTCTTAGAGGCTGTTTACTGCTTTGTGCCCCGCTCCTACAGGAGCAGCACGCAGGCCCGGGACATCGTTACAGTAAATAAAAGAGGCTCGGTTTGTTGTGCCTGAAACTCAGGGGTTTTCAAGAATTTAATTTGGCATCAGTGCTTGCAGGCCACACGCGCAGTCGTGTGGTCTTCGGAGTGGTGTGGGATGACAGAGCTTTCTGAGTTTGATACGGGGTAACAAGGGAGCCTTTCTTCCTCTCAACTGCTAAACCAGGATGGAGGGGTTCAGCTTGAGCTGAGCGGAGTTTTGAGCCCCTTGTTTACTGTCAGGGAACAACAAAAAGGCCACCCTCTTCTGTTGTACTAAACTTAGACTTTTTATAAAAATTCTGTTTATGGTCTCATCCTAGAAGGGGGTGTCCTGGTGCAAGGGAAGGAAGCTGACATTCAGTTCATCAGCTTTGGATGCAAGAGAGTCTGGACAAGCAATCAGTGCCATGTTCTGAAGAAGGGTGTGATGAATCCTGGCATTTCTGTGCTTCTTGAGCTTTTCCTTCCATTCCCGTTTTCCAACAGCTGTGCTCACAGCACACTGCTGAGCAAATGGTCCTGTTCCACAAGCGGGCATTGATAAACCACAAACCTGTGGGCATTTTCTAGCTTTGTTGGTTTTTTTCTGGTGATTATTTGGGATGCAATAGTGTAGATTTTTGTTGCCTGATATCTTTTGTATAGCAGAGTCAACACTTCCAGATAATATGGCCCAATGACACATGGCTGGTCACATCCTCACTGGCAGCACTTCTGCTTTGCCCTGGGTGCCTGCAATTGTGGAGAAAGCGAACAAGAGATTGTATCTGACTCGCGTGAGCATAGTCTCAAGAGCTGGCCTTGTGCTTAGCGTGACAGAGTGAAACAGTTGTGGAACACGGAAACTATTCACATAATCTGTAAACAGGACATTGGAGCAGTTTGGGCATAAAAAAATGGAAGAAAAATTTGTGCTCTGTCACTTGTTGAAGAGCCTCTTGCTGTTGCCTCAGTGACTGGCAGCTAGTGATGCTGTGCAGCGAATGCTTAGCCCCGTGTTCCTGGGGAGATTTTGGGGTGGTGATTTTGATGAGTTTGGGGGGTTTGAGCCTGCTGGCTCTCACTCTGCACTAACCCAAGGCAGCGGGCTGCCCCGTGTCCGTTATTCTGCCCAGCACGACTGGCGTGGCAGCGCTGATGGGCTGGGGGCTCAGTTCTCTGCCAGGCCAGAACCGTGAAGCCCCAAGTGAGCTGTGAGCTCTCGCCTGGGGATAATTCCTGCGCAGCACTGCTTTGCTGGATGGGGAGTACGTAAGTGAGCTGCGAGCTCTCGCCTGGGGATAATTCCTGTGCAGCACTGCTTTGCTGGATGGGGAGTACGGTGCTGGGGCAGGACTGCTCGACTTCAGGCCGCTTGTCTGGAGGAAAACATGAGTGGCTGAAGTGCCCAGACAGAGTTGTTTTAAAGGCAGTGGGACGTGGCATCTGCTGACCCCAGGGATCTTTTTTAGTTCCAGGGAGGCGTGTGGTCCCTCAGCACGGTGCTGTGCGATGCCCTGATGACCATGGACGTGATGCTGTGCACAGCTTCCATCTTCAACCTCTGTGCAATCAGCGTGGATCGGTGAGTGCCCTCCTCGTCCTCCTGCCAGAGGAGGGAGCGCTGTGTCCTTCCATATGCACCCTTGCAAGGGTCCCACGCAGGGCAGCTGGATCCCGTTCTCCCCTGAGGGCTGTGTTCCACCCTACCATCCTCCCCAGCACCTTGTGGCCCATCGGTACCCTTGTGGTGGCCAAGCTGACCAGCACTGTTGTGTGACAGGCCAGCGCTGACCCTTTGGGTGCTCTCCTGAGGGGGCAGATGGGTTGTAGCCCAGGCCTCAGCTGTGTAAGTAAATTACTGGGGGGGGAGGACAGTGGCAAGCAGCTTTGGGACCACTCCCTTATGTTACCAGTGGTGACACCAGTGTACCAAGACTGACGCACCTGGGGCCTGTGTTGGCAGGTTTATCGCTGTTTCAATCCCACTGAACTACAACCGGCGACAGATCGACCTGCGACAGTTGATCCTTATATCCACCACCTGGATATTCGCCTTCGCTGTAGCATCCCCTGTCATATTTGGCCTCAACAATGTCCCAAACCGGGACCCCAGCTTGTGTCAGCTGGAGGATGACAACTACATCGTCTACTCCTCCGTCTGCTCCTTCTTCATCCCCTGCCCCGTCATGCTGGTGCTGTACTGCGCCATGTTCCAGGGACTCAAGCGTTGGGAAGAAGCCAGGAAGGCCAAGCTAAGGGGCGGCATCTACGGGGCCAACAGGAAGCTGTACCACCCCTCAACCTTTATCGAGAGAGAGCAGGCTGGACTGGAGCCAGAGGGGTGCAACCCCTACGCCCGCTCTGAGCACCCTGGGGACTGTGTGATGAACAACGGGATCCAGACTGTCTCCTACCCACACCTCAAGTACCCCCACCCAGGACACAGTCGGAAGCGGGCCAAGATCAACGGCCGGGAGCGGAAGGCCATGCGGGTGCTGCCTGTTGTCGTCGGTGAGTGCCAGCCGGTGACGGCTGGGGGAGGGGGGGAAGGATGGGCGACGCGCTGCACTGTCCTGCAGCAGGGTTCAGGCTGGCAGGACTTGTTTGAACTGGTGAAGGGAACACACGGTTTGCCGGCTTCCTTACGGGGAGCCAGACTGCCCAGGGACGGGTGCCTGAGCAGCGATGAGAGCTGTCCCGCTGAGAACCACACCTTCTCCTCGCTGGAGGGGTGCAGGTGAGATAAAAGCCACCTCCCTCTTGTGCCACCTCCCCAGCCATGTCTTTGCTCCTCCTCCCTCTCCGTCACCGCAGGCTCATGTTCTAACACCCACCCTCCCCTCGTTTACTGGGGTGCCGTAAAGGCCTCCATACCCAGCTCCTGCTGTGAGAGGATGATTACGCAGCGAACATCTCAGTGTGCCTTTGAGCCACAGCAGTGCCAACACCCCCCCTTGGGAAAGAACGTACATGCAGTGTTTACATTCCAGCCTTTTCTTCAAGGTAAACCCACAGCTCCTGGTAGCTTAAACAGAAATCCAAAATTAAACATAACTTGGACTTTTCTTCATCAACATTTAGGACAAGAAAGACATCCTAAATTTTCTGGCTGGGCATACGCCCAGTGCTGTGTGTCAGCACATCTGCTGCTTTTCCTGAGCTGTCTCCATTCCTGCATTTATTAAATTAAACCCTTTTTAACATTCACATCACTTTCTCTCTTTAATGTCCCTCTGGCAGGTGCTTTCCTCTTCTGCTGGACACCTTTTTTTGTGGTGCACATCACCAGGGCTCTCTGCAAGTCCTGCACCGTTCCCACCCAAGTCACCAGCACTGTCACTTGGCTGGGTTACGTCAACAGCGCTCTCAACCCCATCATTTACACCGTCTTCAACGCGGAGTTCAGGAACTTCTTCCGCAAAGTCCTGCACCTCTTCTGCTGAGCTACTGGAACTGCTGGGGAGAAGGAACGACCAGGCTACTTTTTGTATAGTTCATTAAAGATCTTTTTCTGCCTGAGGTCTACTGTCGTTGCTGGGGAGGTGGGGAGCAGGAGCGATGGCAGCTAACGGGCGCTGGTTCCCAGCCCTCTGTAGTGAGGAGTTACAGGTGAGTACCAGTGCGTACAGCTCGGACACGCTCCCCCCTGGAAACTGCAGGCGCAGCCGCCCCACTCGCCCCGCTCGTTGCCAGCACACAAACCAGCCTGAGCACCTTGCTAATTGCTTCCTTTTCCCCACTGGGGAATGGTGAGGGGTTGCGCTCAGGCTGCTGGGGCACAAAACGCACAAGGACAGTGAGGAGGAGAGGAGTAAGGGCCTTGTAAGGTCCCTTCTACCTTTTGGTACACCTGAGCGCAGCGACACCAGCAGCTCTGGATGTTTGCCGAGACTCAGGAGGGGGGACAATTATTACTGCACAGAACAGCTGTCTGCTGAGGAATGATTTTGAACAGGGTTGTTCTTTCCAAGAAGTAATTTGTTTGCTTAGAAACAAAAGGAAAAAAATACTGCAGGGAGGCCTGAAGCTTTTCTTTCACAAGAGAAGCAGTTGTTCAATCAATTTATCATCAACAAACAAACAAACAAACACAGTGAATTCCCCCAGTGACTATATTGTACATTTTTGAGTTCTGCAGTTTGCCCTGGGGTGGGGCGCAGCTGCCCAGATGCCAGGGCTCTGATGGGAAGCTCCCTGAAAGCTTTGATTCCACATGACTCATACCTGCAATCTCTTCATTTAGGAAAATAGCCCCACTCTCTCTGCAATTTTTTTTTTTGCCCTGAGATGGTGCAGTAAAGCCCAAATTCAGACACTCACCAAGGCTCAGCTCTGCTTGGCCAAAAGCTGTGTAATAAGGACAGCAGCGGACTCTGGAAGTTGCTGCCCAGTCACCTACGCAAGCAGGAGACCCGGCAAAAGCCTGAGTGCTGGTACCTGAGCTCACCTCGTCCTGCAGCTGTCCTCCTCCTGGGATCCACCCCGCGCTCTGCTCCTCAGACCCGTGTCACCCTGCAGGGACGGGCTCTGGAGAAGCAAAGGGTGAAGCAACAGGAACATTCTTCCACTGAAAGCCAGGTTTGACATTGAAAGTGCAGCTTCAGCGCTGCAGAGGTGCCACTTCAGCATCAACCGTCACCAGACTAATGCAGGATGCTGCTGTCTCGCCCTCCTTGATTTGAGGAGCGACTCCATCCAGATTCACTAGACCACAGCCTGGCAGCGGGCTCTGAGAACAGCAAAAGCTGTATGAGATGACAAACCAGCTTCCAGCGCCGTGCAACACCCGGAGCAAAACGTAATGAGACCTTTAGGAGTGACAGAGGAAGGAATGGACTTGTCAGAAACTGCGTGTAAGACTTGAGTATTCTCCATCGTGTTTTCCTCTGTTATACCTTCCTGCAACTCTGGAGAGAATTTGATCCCTTTGACAGCATTTATGATGCTGGGTTGGGTCACAATAATCCTCACCCACCAGTACAAAATCAGAGCGGTAACCAGACAGGACAAGTAGCCCCTCACAGCTGTTGTGCCTGAGGCTAAAAAAAAACCCAACCAGAGATGTGCGTGTCTACTGGGACTCCTCAAGCCTGGGGCATTAATCTTCAAACACGAATAAATGCGCCTGATTAGCCTAAATTATTAAAAGAGGACCTTAATAATTAAATGATCTTGTTGCAGTGAACAAAGCAAATAACTTCCTAATGCTCAGCGCTTTAATTAGTCACTACATGGCAGCGACAGGGCAGCGCTGTTAGCCTGCTCTCTCGAGAGGTTTGATCAGATCGGGTTCTGGCCGGACGGACGCCACGCGTACAGCCGAGACACGCCACAGGGCGCGAC